TTATTTAAATAAAATTACTTCTTGGATTGACTAGTATTATAATGTAATCAGCACATTACAAACAGGTACAGTACTGAAAATGATCGACAGAGTAGTATGGCCAAAAGTGCAAGGCATCTTAGTAACGCGACATATTAATCGACTAAATAAAGTTTTTTATTCTAACAATTTTTTATTATTATATTATATTATTATAATATTATATATATTATATATTAATTAATCATTCTACAGGTATTTAGATAGTTTCAGCACTTTACTAAACTACCTAAAATATCGCGAAGCAATACAAACATTGCATGTGATGAAGCTCAGTCGATAGATCGTGAAATGCATTTTCGTTGCGGTTACCCAAGCAATGAAACAACTGCTGCCATATCCAGCTTGATCTGACACTCGCAATGTGCTGGAACTGCTTTTATTACTATTATTAAAAAGGTTTAGTACAATAATTTCAACTGTAATGTTGACCAATAACAAAGAGCTAATGTGCCCCTGCCTTAAGTTCGTTAAACTAGTTGTTTGTGTTCCTCTAATCTGACGATCAGACACATTCTCGTTGGTTGTAAGACTACTAGATTATAGGTTAACATGTGATTGTAATCCGATATGACACGCGCGTGCACGGTGCTACGCTCGCCTTACGACCTCAGCTACGTGCCGTAATTCAATAAACCGCTCTAAACCCACTAATGGAAGGTACAGCTTCAGGAACCAACGCTAAAGCGTCCACTCAAATAACGCTTAAAACAATGTGAGAAATCTAACAATCGTCCACAGTTTGAATCGTTTCAAATTAGTATCACACACATACGACTCCCATATATTGGAGTGACGTAAGACCTACTTAAAGTTCGTAATTACTTTGTTACTTTAAAGTTACTGCTAGCTCAGATTGTGAGTGTTACTTTGTTCTTATTAACCTTACATACAAATCTCCGTAGACATGTAGCTCTTCCTTAATCACAAATTGTTCTAGCTATTTTTACAGTATTACTAATTACTAAGGGACATAAAATAATATTGAAAGAAAATTTGTGAAAAATGTTGTACATTACATGGGTTGTCAAATTATCTCTTTAATACACCACTAATTAGGCAAACAAGCCTGTGCATACCCATAAACCCAGCAACAGGATGTCATGTAGAAATTCCATAAGATCGTTGAGTCAGTCGTAGAGATGAAAATAAAACCGGTCAGGTACGAGTCGAACTCGTGCGCCGAGGGTTCCGTACCTACCCAGATTTTACGTAGATTTTCGCGAAAATTTGTAATTACCAAATTTTTTTATTTGTGCTGTTAGACGTTTCTTTTTGCAAAATTTCGTGATTCTAGGTAAACTTGAACTATCATATATAGGTTTTCGACCCAAAACCTATGGGGTACTTCCGGTTGACCTAGAATTGTCAATTTTGGTTTAAAGCAAGGTCTTACAGCACAAGTAAAGAGAAAATTCTGAAAAATAAAAAAAGTTGAAAATTAAGGTAAATTTTTGTACTTACAAGTTTTCACGAAAATCTAAATTTGCCTATATCTTTTTATCGTGTTGACTCAGGACTTCGATTTTTATACACCTAATAGGGACTATAGACTTCACTATCTGGTATAAATTTCAACTTGCTAGGTCTACCCGTTCCTTAAAAAATCGGTGGTGACACACGGACAGACGGTCAAGAAAGTGATCTTACAAGGGTTCCTTTTTACCTTTTGAGGTACGGAATCCTAAAAATTATTATCTTTGGCCGGCTATACCACAGAACAGGAAATAAACAAACAAATAACGACACTTTATTCTCTGTTTTCTACACAGCTTGAAAATATTATACATACATTCATCCTATTAAATGCTCTCTCGTTCTCTCTCTCTCTCTCTCTCTCTCTCTTTCTTTTCCCAGCTTTTTATATCTGGAAGTAGTAGTTGGATTATGATGCAGTAGTTTTTAAATATTTATAATAAACAGATCAGATATTTTAACTTTTGAGGGTTTCACACTTAGCACGATCCTTTGAGCTTTTGTACCCCTGTTTTGCGAGTTTGTAAATTTATTTTTGACCTTTCTTACTATCTAACATCATATCTCGTTTTTCATCTTGAGTGAGTCAGCGATATCACTTAGATTTTCAACATTAGGACCTTTAAAATTTTAACCACAATACGAGTTGCAACAAACACACAAACATGTGACTAACATGCAATATATGATATATTGCATGGTAGTGTGTTGTAGTGGTAGTATATTGAGTAAATTTAAGATGGTAACTCGTAAGTCTCTGGAAAAAATCCTCCCAAAAACTATAAAGTGGAATTAAATAAGCTGTTATTTCCATCTCCAATCAGACCAATGGTATAACAAAGTTCTGAATAAGCCATTTTTCAATGTATATTTTTTATTATAAGTGGGACGTTCGTCCATCCGTCGCCGCGGCGTGTAGCATAATCGCGCGATCAGGAGGCAGGGCCCGCGCAGTGACAAACAACATTCATGGACGACATTTATGCGACGTCATGGCCCTCAATAGAAATGCTTCGATTTACGTTCATTTTCTATTTTTTGTCAGACATCTTTTTTATTCGTTTTGTGGCACAGGCCATTACATAAAACTGTTACACCTGAAAAAATTGCTCAAGTTGTGGTCGCCAGTCTCGAGACACAGACCATAACCTTGTGTGATCGCAAGCTTTGCACTTTTGTCACGGTTAAGTGTCGTCTACTTGCAGCGATCGTCTTGCAACATCGACTTAATAAAGTTACACTTTTCATGTAGCCGTGTAGCAGTTGGAGATTGGATGACTGTATTTCATTTTTCGGAGCCCAGCTTTCAAATTGAAACAAGAAAATGTTTGTACAAGAAGAAAACGATTTCAAAATAACTAAATAAAGCTAAATCATTCACTTAAGGTTAAAAAGATTATGTTTCGGTGATTTTTGTGTTAAACTAAAAAATAGAATGCCAGATCCCTCCATGAGAGACAAAATCAATAAATAGCCTTACATTTGCTACTATGTTCTAACATACCTCACGGACCGTTCCAGAAACTTTTAGCGTTGTCCACGCATAGTGTAATAATGATCTTAAGATAATTCAACCGGAAAACGGATAAGATTTAAGATCAAAGAAAGGTTTTCGGTATTCCTTGATTAAGACAATCCAATTTTCTAAACTGGAGTACTTGAACATTAGGTAGATACTTAAATATCGTCGAATTTAAATGTCTTCGGCAAAAATTGAAGGCAATACCAACCCGAGATCAAAGCGATAGCGGCACTTCAACTTTTTTGTGGAACCGATACCTACTCTTCATTTCCTTTTTAATACGGATTCAATATACAGATAAGGACATCGGATTTTTTTACAGAAATCAATCTCGGTATTATTGAGCATGTTTATTTAGCATTCGTTGCTGGACTTCGATTCAGGTGAATATGAATAAACATAAACAATAGTTAAGACCGCTCAGCATAACGAGTGGGCAACGATCGAGATTGCACCAAAGACAATGCCTTCACGGTGGTGGCTTGAAGGGGAGCCATTTGTATTCGTAATGGTATATCGAATTTCGTATTTGTTCGTGGGGTCGTTAGCAGCACCTTCACGCTTGTTTATAAAGAAAACAAAACCCTTTATCCGCCGTGGGTCGCAAGTGCTACGTCAAAACGCTGAAACCTTACTCCATAGCCTAACAAACTCAGATACAATACGAGTAATAAACAAAACTTTTAAAATTTTACTATCTATGTGTATGAATTTATTATTACTCATGATTACCATAGGGCTAATAAATTATACTTTCTAAAATGTTTCAATTTATGTAGTTTAGACATATTTATCTTGCAGGTAACATGAAGACAATTCTTTTCTAAAATAAATAAATGAAAAATATTTCTATGATGAAAGACATAAAGTCAGTTAAATTGTTTTATTTAAAATACGAAGTTCTAAAATAATCGCCTTTGTACATCAATATACTTCGTCATTAATAAATGAAGGATTCTTTGTTTTGTACACCTAAATCTCTTCAAAGTGATATTTTTTTGCTATTTACAATGTAGAATTTAATGCTTAGTTTAAATTTGCCGCTGATTGCGATGAGAACATACTTACATTGTACACCTACACGCTCGCACAGTAGATACAAGGTACGCATGTTTATAAGTTTTTACGTTGTACTTAGATCGTTGGACAGATATGGCATATCTCAAAACCAATGGAGCGTGAACAAAGTCACGCGCCAAGAGTTTCGGCATCTACACGTCTCGCCTCGCATCATGTACCTTCTCAGTTAAGAGCTTTAAAGCCTCGATAAGTCCTACAGCTCTTAGATTGTCTGTGTGGCCATGCAGACCCATCGATTGTTTTCCTTTACTTAACTTTAAAATCGAAAATTGCAAAAAGATATTAGGGGGGCTGCATACCGTGAAAACCGATTTTTAGCATATGTAAAATCTATTTTAGCATAGAATAACTTAGGGTTTTATAAATTGCGTTAGCAGGAACCTGTTCTGATAATTAATTGTAACCTTAAGCAAATATTCTAACGTATCAAGCTGATCTTTCTTTTAATTTTAAAGGCTAAGGGGTGTTTACAATGACAAAATTGACACAACGTGGACATCACAAGCTGTGCATATGCGGTGTCAAGATCACATCGGCGTAGAGTCGCGCCGCCGCGGGTGACACGCGCACCCTGCCAGCTCTCTCCGCACCGCACTCACCCCCGCAATCGTCCTCCTGTTACCCTCAACCCTCGCACCACGCATGCTCCAATTATAATCTGTTTAGGGATGTCCATTGTCGATTAAGATTTTTTATTATCCAAATTATTGAATAAATTGTAGTGGAAATAAATATGATAGTTCATTGTAACATAAACTGTAAAAGGGGCAATTTTGAAGGTTTACATTAAAACTGTTTTTTTTTCTAATATTTGAAACAAAAAACTGGTCACGTGTCTTTCAAAGGTAAAGTCGAGCTTTCCAATGTGTAACATAGCGAGTGTATGGGTTCAGCTAAATATTCAGCCGTTGTGGATAACTCGATAGCTCGATGTAAGATAGGGCGGCATTATCCGTCGGGTATGGATGCGCGCGCAGCAGCGTCGCGCGGAGGGCATCAAATCGCCTGCGGAGGGCGGCCGTGCCGCGCGTATTTCGTTGTCTCCCGCGCGATCACTTGCCACAACACCTCCGACGTCGGTGAGAGGTGCGTTCCGTGCTACATAGATGTGCGGTCACTGACCGATACTGGCTTAGAACACAACATCACGCGGTTGACCTCCGCCCCGTGCGCGTTCCGTGATCAAACGAAATAGCCTAGTGCCTACCGTGCCCGCCCGCTCTCATACACCACATGCACCAGCAGGTAGCCTGAGGCCAACCCTCAGTAGCGTGATACCCGACAATCTCCGTAAGCGGCGCTGTAGGACATACCGCTCTCTCTATGTCCAACTTTAATTTGATCTTTATTGTTTTTTGGTGTTTAAATATCTTTAAATGTGTTTTTATCGTTGTTGAATTCTTGAGATTCCAATGGACTGTCGGTCGTGTAAGTGAGTTCGTAGGGGTGCTGTTTGACGACAGGGTGTGAGTTATTGATGAACTGTCTTTTTAACCCGTATTTATTTACATATAATATTTGTTTATATTCGATTATTTGTAACAACATCATTTTGCTTTTATCGTTGGTAATTGACAACGACAACTTTGGTTATGCGAATTACTACTTAATTCGGTTCATTAAGTGGCATACCATTAAAGGAGTTTATATTAGGAGTTAAAGTGATTTGCTGTAATATTTGTAGCTACTGTAAGCTTGCCAACTGATAAATTTGCTAAACTCCATTGTCAAAACATTTGCATATAGGTAGGTCCAGACATACACACAATAGTCGTATTTTACAACTTGCAACCACGTAAAGATAAATCTCTTTCGTACAAATTATTGTAACGAAAATAACATGAATAAATTGCGTTTTATTGCGCATTTCCATTGTTATGACGTTTCGTTTGTTGTTAATAATTATTTAAAGTTGTGTAAAATAATTTGTTTAACCGTAACTTCATATTACTTTGAAATTATTGAGATTTTATTCTTATCTAAAAAACTGAACGCGAATCGAAGTGAACAACGATGTTAGAAGAAGGAATAGTAAAAATATTTACCATGTCCGCATTAAAAACCGCATCATAATATATTTGTTACTTATTACAATTTCACAAATTTTTCAAATACTTTAAATCTTCAGTTTCTACATCCTGTCAATGTTCTACGAGTATAATACCTATTTCACATTTAAAATTCGTAATTTCTGTGAGTTTTTGTCTTGTGAGAATTTCAGTGAGATACTAGTTTTTAAACTTAAATTTTAGCTCTTTGATAAATTACTCACATTGTCAGATGCTTTATATTAGACCATATGATAACAAAACACCAAATCTTTATACAAATAGTTATTTACAACTTTATATACATCTCACCTAGGAAACTGATGGTATCCGAATCCTTCAATCGTCATAGCCTTCAGCGCTTGCAAAAAGAGGTCTGTTGAGCCTTTTCATACAATTCTATTGCACGCAGGTTTTATAAGATTGTTTCCTAATTAAACTGTAACTCTGTGTGGTTATTCTATGAGGAGTAAACAGTATTGGTTGTTTTTTTTAGATAAAATTAAAGAATACGTTAATTGTGCTGGTTAAAGTTGTTTAAATTTTAAAACTATCGAGCGGCTCAGTCAGAGAAATTGCTGAAATTCGCCTCGGCCACAATCTGTTATTTCTTTATTTGTGGAGAACGATTAACACGAACATGGCTTACACTTTTAAGTTTTTTGTGGATAACATAGACGAATACAAATATTTACTCTGAAACTTCTTAAAACCACAGGAATGCTCGACTAATTTCAGACACCGACGGAGGCCTTTAACAATAACTGTAGTGTTGTAACGCGTCGTTTGGAGTCGCCAGACTACAGCATAGTATTATTTTACATACATTAAACTATAGTAAAAACTAATTTAGACTAAAAGAAATGAAAACAACCATCAGGATGAGATGAAGCGATTACATTTACTACTATTGTGCTGTAATAGTTCCCATTCCTAACATTCCGCTACCTGCTAACCAAACATTTTTCTATTACAAAAAAAACTAGTTTTTATTGGTAAGCTGAAAATATTGTGTATCAAATCTGATAATAAACGTAAAGTAATATTAACAACTAGGAAGCATAATATAAGCGTAAAATACTAGCGAGTACTCGTTTAGTAGTACTCGTAAAAAGTAATGTTGCTCAGGTACAATTAAAATGTTGGTTTGCTATATCAATTAATAAAGATTAGATTAGATTAGTCCGTGTGGTGACGGGTTAAGAATACGGAATGTCACCACCCCTATTTATCCCGTGGGTGTCGTAAAAGCCGACTAAGGGAGCTGCTACGCAGGACAACAGCACTGCAAAGAGGAGGAAAACCTTGAAAGAAACCCTATATCAACCCTAACCCTCTTCTAAGGAGGGGCCTATGTCCAGCAGTGGACTGTTATAGGCTGTTGATGATGATGATGAGATTAGATTAGATTTTAGATTATTAGAACGTTTTTTTTTTTAACTACATATTTGCTCAAATTCTCCGAGAACCTGGCAGACATGGTCCACCTGTTGAAGGGAAGACAGTCTTGGGATTCTTTCCTCCACTATAACATGATACCACTATAATTCTGTTCATGGGAATTAGCACGATAAAGTATTTAATAGGCATTCTATACCTTTGATTTGTCTGATGTTTTGACCAGGTTGCACTAAACGTGGCCGCAGCTGTCACAGACTGAGCAATATCAAATTTGTATTGAAACTATCTAACGAAAGTTTAACATGCAAGGAACCACGGCAGGTGCCTTGCACACCTACTTACACCTGTATTACTATTACGTATTAAAATTACTCGCTAACTACTCGCTATAAACTGAGAAACTAGTTTTACGAATTCATTAAATACTTAAAATTATATATGTACTCGTATGTATGACAACTCAAAAATCAAGTTACTTATAACGCACGGAAACTTGATAGTTGCAAGTCCCATGAAAACTGATTCGGACAGATCTTCAATTACTCAGAAGACAGACAGTGCGGTACGGTCTTAGTATGTTTTACTTTTTAAGTAGATTGTTTATGTTCTAAATTATACATTGATTATATTATACCTTACCTTTTAAATTATTACATTTTCTTTACAGCAATATAACATACGATGTGTTTTAAAGAAGTCTTTTGATTATTTAACTGAAAATATTTGACACTAAATTCAGTTCCAAAACAAAGGTATTTTAGCAGTAAGGTATATAACCTTTCTAAAAGAAAGTTTAATTGCCTCTACTTCTTATATCTACTTTTTAAACAGTTAAGGGGCGATTAACATTATTTATGAACTCAATTTTGAACTATTAAATTTTATTTGATATTAATGAGATATCTTTACCAACAATTTCCGTTACCATTTGTTATTCAAAAACAAAATAACTGAAAACAATAATAATAATATTTCGGAGATCTAAGACACAACGCTATCTAGTTTCAAACTAAGCAGAGGTTGTACTATAAAAGCTAGATTGACTGATAGCATACTTATATACTTTTATTGTAAATACATGCATAAGTATTATATGTACATAGAAAACACCCAAACTCCGTATCAAATATTTATAGATCATACTAACATTTGGTCCAACCCAGGAATAGAAACCGAGACCTCAGCACTGCAGTCACATACGCTACCACTGCACCACCGAGGCAGTACACAACAAAATCTTGTAATTTTTGCTCAGTAATAAGTAAGAGGGCTTAGATTTGACGGTTATGTATTCCTTCTTCTTCTTCTTTTGCGTTTAATATTTATGTTCTAAATTTCTCATTTTAAATCCCAAATGACGCCAAAAAACTTGCCCCCCTGTTATATGAGTTAGTATATAGATATATATAATAGTAGATGGCAAAAGTTGTAGTGGGTGTTTTATTTTCAGTATTCTTAATTTCTTAGTATTCTTAAATATTTAATATCATGACTTGTTAAAAGAGTCATACACACCAATTCACGGTGGGAAAACATGCGATTATTTTCAGTTAAATCACCATATATAATTACAGCGTAACTATAATAGCCTTATATAATCGTATCGTAACACGACAAGTATTCAAGCACATACGTTCATTCGACGGCCGGGAGAGTCTCACGGTTCCTATTTACGATGTGGAACCATAAGAACCAGCAAGTGGTGTAGTGGTGTTAAAGGCAACTTGAACTCGAGTCCGGACATCAATTAGGTTCGACTTGTTCTCGCAATTATGTGCTCAAACTAAATTGCTGGAAGATTCGTCGGATGTTAATGGGACTACTTTGCCTTGGTCTAGTTACACACGGTAACACATGGTTAAGATTTCACGTGGAGCGTTCACACGCTAACTTAAACCGTCTAATAATTGCTCAAAGTCGATCGAACCATTTGAATAACATCTCAATTCAATTACTCTCTTTTTATTTATCTCTATTCAATTAAAATTCTCATATTTTTAATATTTATATGTATGTAATATATTTGTATGCAACTCAAAGTCGATCGAACCATTTGAATAAGATCTCAATTCAATTACTCTCTTATTATTTTCTCTATTTAATTAAAATTCTCATATTTTTAAATATTTATTTGTATGTAATATATTTGTATGCAACTTTAAAGTTTTCTTCTTCCTAACGTCTTCAGACAATCAATAAAAAATTCGTCAAATCATCTTTCGTTTCACGTACTGCTTTAGGCACGTGGCAACACATAGGGCGACGTGACGGCCTAATATCCTCTACTAATGCTGTTCTGGCCCGACAAGAGGACAATTTCCGGGTCCGCTCCTACTTTTCCGCCATTAAGCCAAAGAAACAATTCCATAACCATTAGAATCATTAATGATTCCAAAGAAACCATTAATTTATCTTGGCCTCTTTAGTTTAGTATCTTATCTATTAATAATTAAAATAGTAAAACACAATTCACGGGTTTCTGCTTAGATTAATTTTTATATCTGTGTAATGTTTTTGTAGTTTATTTGGCAAAATTAATTATACTCAATTTTCAATGAAAGTTCTCGACACATTAGTAAAACGGTTAATAGTCAGGTGCTGAAGTATAATGAAAAAACTTTTCGGTTTAAAGCGCTTTGTTTTTACCCAACGTCTGCGAGTGAAGTCTTCTTGCTGACAGATGCACGTCTTATGACAAATTAACCAGTAAAAACTTGTAGAAAGTCATAGAAATTAGTAAAATAGTAGACGAATATATTTGTCGGACGTATTTTGCGTAGACAGTGTTCATTTAAAATGACGAAAATCCACTAAAAATATTGGACTACGATGTATTGCAGCAACTAACTTAAATCAACAAACGTCCGCCTCGATTATCATTTAGCAAACCGTTTCATCTTTGTATCAAAATTAGTCGTAAATTTATATTAAACAACTAACCAAGAAAGAATTTTACTATGATCTAAAAATTACTTTAAAATCTTCGCGTTAGAATTTTAAATTAAATTTACGTTTTAATTTTTAGGACTCAAATCAAAGTATACTATTTTATTTCAAAGCAATGAAAACATGTAAACGACAACTATAATCATTATTTAGTAAATAAGTCGCTTCGCACGCGAAAATATATTCTTCCCACGATAATTACATCAAGTAATGTGTGCAGCAAATCATACACTACGAAATGAGGCATAAAATGTTAGAGCTGAGGCTTGGGAACGAGACGGGCGTGCGTAATTACCCGACGAGAATGTGGCCAAGTCCTGCGGCCGGGACAGCCTCCGACCGCGTCGCTGAACTAGGAATAAAGTGCTCAGTGCGGTACCCTTAACTCGTTAATTACACTCGGGAACTTAATATATGTACCTTACTATTTAAAATTTTACAACTTCAAGTAATTGCTATTGTTAAAGTTATCAAATGCACTCAAAACAATATTTTTAATGAGTGCTCCCTGGAAAGCATAACGATGTATGTCGAAGTATCTTCTCGTTTCCTCGGGGCATCTATTAAACGGACAGGCATCGTTTCCCACAGCCCGCTCTCTGCTCGTCACGGAATCAATATCGTCTTTTATCTTATGAAACGTGCTCCACATACACACACTTTTGTACCTCCTGCACGCACACCGGGATATGCCTAGGGTTGCTAACGAATAAAACAAAACGTACAAATAGAAGGCAGATAGCGATAATTAATCCAAATTTCTTCGTCCTCGCACGTGTTTGTTCGCACGCTCTCTATAACTCAGGAGATTTAATTAAATCTCGCTCGAGTGCATGATATTAGTTTCTCTTTTGATTAAATTTTTTTACGAAATCGTATTTTGTAGCCAAGAGTAGTTAAAATATAGTACAACTATTTAGGCTGCTTAAAAAAATGTAATATGCTCGTATAACTATGTTTTAATAAAATTGTTTAAATTATTAAGTAAACTAATATTTTGACAGGTTTTCAAAACAAAATATCAAGTTTTTAAACTAAAATCAGGACACTCGTAGTTATTTCATTGACATTTGTCCCTCCCGCTTCGAACTTCAAACTTTTACGCCAATTAAAATAGCTGAGTAACTTTTTATAGCTACGCGGCTGACGGATGCCGAAATTTATTTGGGGCAGCCAGTGAAGATTAATACGGTTCAAACGCATGAGGCGCCTTGTTAATGTTAGTGTAAATACACTGACTAAAACGTGTTTATTAGTCTACAACTACTCTGTTCAAGTGTGTATAGCACAGGCTAGAATATTCGAAATACAAACAATGCTCTGTAATTGGTGAAGTTCTTATGCAACATTGTTTTTACGCTACTATTACAGGGACGGAGAACGAAAAAACCAATAACGAGTCCATTGTATCCATCCATAATTTTGTTAGTGTTGAAATTGAAGTTACCTTTAGTTGGCTGGGTGTATATTTTCGCGAGCTGCCATACGTTACAAACAAGTACAAGTACAAGAACAGGCTCCGGTAGAGATCAACCCGGTCAGAAATATATCAGTCAGCGTCTAGGGCATGGGAAAATGATCGGTCGGCCTTCTTCCTACTTGCCATATATACAACAACCGCTATTTCACAAGCAAGCTTTTACACGTCGACGTCCGGCATTCGAACGTCTTGAGAAATTTAATAAACAATAATATTATATTGTATAGTTTACAGCAAGGTTTTCCTTGAATAATAGAATTACGTTCACAGAGTGAGAGGCAAGATCCCATAAACGAGTATGTTGTTTATTACATTGTATTGTAAATCAATCTCAAGTACTAGTTTGGTTTATGATGTCATTAATAATTAACTTTCTTATAATAACTACTGCTTTTATTTTTAGGCAAAGAGAAGAGCAGATAAGACTAATATATTAAAAACTACTGGGATATCATGAAAAAGTTTAATTTATTTCTGTAAGTTATTGGAAATGAAATTATAATCAACAACAACGATTTAAAGCAACTTTAGTATTTTAAAAAGTCTTGACAAATCCCCTTCATGGACCGTCGCTAGACCCCCGAAACACAAAACAAAATTTAGTCACTAGGTGCCCTACCTAGTGACTAAATTTTACATTGAGTAATGTTTATCAGAATACACTCAACTCGGTCAGGAGGCGCTTAAATCAATTTACCATACAACTTGTTGGAGATACTTCGACAACCAGTAACGAAGATGTTTACCCCGCATGTACGTATGTAAATCTTGCGTTGCTGCTTCAAAAAGCCGTATGGAAAACTCTAAGCCTCTTTTATATTCTTATTCCTTATCCTTGCGGGATAATTCAGGCCTATAGGACAGGTTTTTACATAATTTTACCGCATCCCTTTCTATTTGCTATACGTTTTTGTGAAGTAACATTTTTCGGGCTTTTTTATTAGTCACACGGCAACGCGTCGCTAAATTAGAAAACATTCAATAAATCACAGCAGCGAAATTCAATTTCGAGGATCGTAAATAAAATTTTGTACGAAAGGTATGTAACGAGTTTTAAAAACAAACATTTTAGAGAACAAAAAGGGTAAACGTGTATACGCCTCGCCTATTTGTCGCGAACAATATTTGTAAGGGTAATTGTTGAGATGCAAAGTGCTGAGATCCAGCCGCTCTCGGCAGTTGGCAGGGGAAGGTCTTTGAACTAACCATGGTATTGGTCGCTACATACTGTTGCGTACATGTAGACAGAATATTCTATTGAGCTTTTATTTGCTGCTCGTTAGTATAGAGTGGTTTATTATTATGCATTTATAGCATTAATGTAACAGCCCTTATGATTCATGCATATATCGAGAGTGTAAATTAAATTTCATTATGTTACCTTGTATCAATAAAATGTTGATTTTGATACGGGAAATACTGAATAGTTTTCATGTTTATCGTCCTAATTAATTACTGAAAGGTGATGTATATTTTTAACAGCGACTTCATCAACAGCCCATAATAGTCCAAGAAAGAAGGTTTTGATACTATACCAGACGGGTGTAGGGTTTTTGTAAAGTTTACCATCTTTTTGCAGTGCTGTTATTTTGCGTAGTTTGCTCTCTAAGTCAACTCTTACAACACCAATATTCCCAAGACATAATGACGATCAAATGTAAAAGAATAGAAAATACAAAGCGGTAAATTATTTGAATGGGTTCAGTTTGACCATCTAAGCCCCCTCCCCCCTATTTCCTCTCAAAGGCTTTAAAGACCTGCGTTCGTCCCAGTGGACCTTTGAACTACCTACAAGTACTTAAACCGTAAAGTAGAATATTTGTATGCCTATACTGTTATTCATCGTTCAATCTCTATTTCGAGGAAAATATTTCTAAGATAGTAAATACAAACTCAATTTGCTAGTAAAATGCTTATTAAGTCTAAAAAGATCCAAGCACTTACAAATAGAAAATAAACAAAAGATCAATCGGCATAAAAGGAGTGGTATTCTCAGTAATTTAGTCGAACGGTTCCCGTGGCCGAGACGACCCTCATCCAGTCGATAATCGTATCGATTAGATACTTTCTCGTTTCTCGTCTCTACTTCGATTACCTTGCATTCTTTTTTACTTGACCTAATGCCATCATTAACCTTTCTCACTTAACTTCTCCATGGAGCGAAATCTTTCCTACTTAAATATATATGCGTATAATGTGGAAGTTACGAAGTCTCACGTGTTGAATACAAAAAAAAACAAACCATATGTGACTAATTTGTACTGAAAAAAAGTAATAAATCTACTAAATATAATCTTTGCAAAAGTTGTAAAATACGATGCGGCTTGTCTCAAACGGCACCCTCGTTTTGTGTAGATCAGATGTTATTCACACTACACAATATTTTTGAGACACAATAGAAATTTTAACCGCATGCCGGTGTATTGAACAAGGGCATGCTGTCGCCCTGTTGCGTCAGGTCTGTTACAGTCTCTCATCTCGCGTATGCCTCAGATTTTTTGTGTATAATAACTCGGCGAGCTTGACGGCAGCACCTCGACGCGGGTGCAAAAAATGACAAAAGCTCTAGTAAGCTCGACTCGTCGAGGATCGGGGAGGGTTGGCTGGCACACGATAGATGCAACGGACGTCAGTCGCCTGCGCACACCCGCAGGGCTACGTATACCCGTGCCTCGGGACTGCGCGAGCAATTCACAACTAAAAAAATACTATCGTAATTTTCAGTAAAAGTTTGGAAGTAACGAAAAATACACAAGTGTTTTTGAAAAATGTTGACAGTAAGCTTTATGTGAACTTTCTTTAGTTTTTATCATTATGAACTTTTATATGGTAGTGTAACAATGTAAGTGATAAGACTGCAGTGAAATGTCAACATCGGAGGTTAGTCAATAGTGAAGTGGACTTGGTATAGAGGAGCAGGATGACGATGAGATCGCTGAAGTACAGTGAGAGGGAGGAGATGATGGAGGGCTTCAGTCCAGTGCCTCCACCCCTCCCTCGCCGACAACCAGTGAGAAACATCTATGCTGAACCCTTCGTAGACCCTAGGTAAGTAATATTACTAATTCAGTCTACAAAAATGATAACAAATTCACTTCGTAATAAACCACATACGTGGTCATCTCGCCGCTTCTCACTGCGCTGAGTGTTGTGGGTCCGATCCCTATATGGGACCACACTTTGTGTGATTCACAAATTGTTGTTCTAAGTCTGGATGTTCTTCGTGTTCGTTTCATGTATGTGTGTGTAAAGTCCCCCACTACACAGGGTATATTCCTAGTGCGGGAGTTGACTTTAAAAAGATAAAAATGTTATCTCTACCTTACACTTGTACATTCTAACGCAGGTTAATCGAACAAACTAATTTGTACAATGAAACACTTGTTACACTTGTCACAATAAGTGTTATAACTGGTAAGACACGAACGAGGTGTTACGTATTCAACATGTACCTATTTATTATAATTTATTTATTAAAATTGTGTACGATTATCTTTTGATTTTTAAATCTCCTGACATTAGAGAAAGATAAAAATCACTAAGCTTCAAGATAAACTTAATCCAGCGAAAGCATTTTTTGAATACAGTTAAAATTCTTAACAACAAAAAGATAAAATACATTAGTGTAGTTGATGACAACGCATATAAATTACTTAAGCTTTTGATAAAGCCGACATGCTACAAGCGGTTTATAATCGTTTCGAAAACATGCTCATTGTGATAAATTATAAATTAAACCAAGAACATTTTATGACAGCGCAATCTAGTAACAATTAGACACTTCGTGTATTGACAAGTTAATACACAAAAAAGATAAATATTAAGAAAAATCTAAACAAAATAAGGAAAATGTTCAATTCAATTGAGTAGGTAGGTAGCTGAATCAGTTGACGGCACTTGTTTACCTTCCCGACCCCAACTCCGAGTAGAGTGGGCCCCTATATTCAGAGCCGCAGTTCAAAGTAATAATAAAGAGCCTGAAGCCAGAAAACATCTATTTCATATAGCACACGACTACATAAACATGGGCCGCCCTGAACCCTACAAACCTCCAAAGACCACAGAACATTATTAAAGTAAGGCACTACACAAAACTAATTCTGCGGCTCTTATTCGGGTTGTCCTTTGGGGTTTTCGATCGGAGTTCTCACAATAAGAAATTCTCATTCCAAAATGTTATTTAGTAGTTTTCCGCGAGTATAGAACATCGGACAAAAAAGTATGCATACAGTATGTCAGGTAATAGCGTGGAACTGTGTGCAATCGCAAAGGATGGACGATGTAGTATATGTTTAATCGTAAATTATATTTTTAAACTGTGTTTTAAGATGTGGAGCAGCGAAGATAGCGAAGTTATTACCATCTGCGACACCCCAACCACTGTAGCTTAATTTCAACAGATTGGAGGGTGATTCTCAAGTAGTATTACCACAGTGCTTACACTGTGGTGTTACTATTTGAGAATAGGACGATAGGATATTTATACCTATCGTCCTAACAATAATTAAAACGAACACGGTACTTTCATGTTTCCTATTAGTAATTTATTTAGCTACATATTAAAAGGTGTGTAATTTCTCAACTGCAATTTAATTAAATTAAAAGCATTTGCACCTGTATACCGAGGAATAATTCATAAGTAATCGCATCTCACCTAATCAATTAAGTAACCAGGTCAAAAATGAAATTTATAATTGACTAGTTTAATGATAACAATTTGACATGCTAGAGCGATGATAGATAACGGAAACATTATTTGACGGCGTACTAACGGTGAGTAAAGAATGTAATTTCCTTTACAATGTGTTAACAAGGGCCGAACAACGAGGCAAACTATATGACGGTTAAGTGCACGCAACAATAGTGGATAGATATCATCATGGGGCGCCCTTCATGCTTAGATGCGCTTGCCACGCTCCCAGAAGGAAATTGATGGTTTAAGGTAACCTTTGTGTCACCTTGTGTACTTAAGTCTATATACACTCCCCAAAAAAAGACCATTTGTAAAAATGTAGAATCAAATTGTGTAAAAATAATCACAAGTACATACTCGTACTTTGAATACATTAATCATATCGTGTGGTTATAATGTTGTCTTCTGAGTCTATACACATTTTCAAAGTTTTAACTTTATCATCCCCTTTTTACAAATTAAACTTGAATACTGACTTGATAAACAGTTTAAACTCAAAGTAAATTTGTTTACGAAATCCATCGCAAATTACTTAAAAGCATCGAAGTTTCATAATTAGCGTCGGCATGTAAACATGCGCAAATGCGTCATATGTCTGCAAAGACACGATCGCCAAACTGCGAGGAGTTAGGAACTGGCGGCAAATATTTGGGCATATATGAAGCCGGAAAGTTCAGCCGAGCAAGAAATGATTTCCATACGGCCCGGGCAAGGCAAACACAGTTCACCCATCAAACTCCAACACAAACTTGCAACTTAGTTAATAGCGTTTAGACGATCGCAAACGGTTCCACCGACCGAATTCACATTCGCTTTGTGCATCGAGATAATTGGGTTCTGCTGTTAGCTGCACTGCTTGCCTAGTATCTTATAATTTTGTATCAAGTTGTTTAGCTTTTTATGTACAATACAGTGCTTCTCAATTCCGATCAAATTACATTTGATTGAATATTAAGAATGTTGTCAGAGAACCCTATCAACGATCTCAACGCATGTTCAAAAATACATTGTCATTGATCACCCTTCACAGTACATTAACGTTATTCAAACCACACGATGTCGAGCATCAAATATCCTGTACACAATAACACTATATCAACGGACATACGGGAGCATCAATACTTGACCTAACAAGTATTGGACTAAAATAAAAACTAATATAAACTTTTATTACAGATTTTGTTTTTAAAAATAAAAATCTATTCTATTTACAAATTTAATAAATTTCTTTAACCTTTGCACGTAATCTACAACTACCATAAACATTATTGTTATTTTTTTTAATATCTTTCGGTTACAATAAACGTCGCTTCGTCTTAATAGATTTAAAACTGACCCTTGAACTACGGTACAGAACCTTTCCCCGATGTTGCTGTAACTTCAATTAGGCAAGTTCGTGATCGATTGTTTATTACAACTGGTGCAGCATTTTATTAATAGTTCATATAATTAGAGGAAACGCCCCATCAACCTCGCAACGCGTGTTGTCTTATACGCTATGAAAGGGGCACTGTTGCACCGTGCGGTGTTCGTTCGCTTCAAACCAATCGCACTTGTCGCAGGAAGTTCAATTATCTTCCTTTAACTTTAGTGCATAATGTCGACACAATCATTTCATAAAACAGAATCTTTGTGATTCAATCACTCCTAATTGGCATGATCAAACGGGCCAATTACTGTGTTGCACTCACAATCACAGTCATAATCTAGCTCTGTAGAACTTTTTATACAAATTTATAGCCACCAAATATTCTTCATAAGTCTTACATTTCAAAACCGAAAGTTTTACACTCTATTCCTCTGAAAATTTACGTGTATTTTTATAACAATGAAAATACGAATGGATGTGAAACACCTGCACTGTGTAAACAAAGTGATTAAATAATGGAATGATAATATTGTCTTTCATTCCAACTGTTTCGTGTCAAGCATTTGTATGTAGAGCACATCAAAGCTTATCACGAATGTATGACGGTGTATCTCCAACGAAGGATAATCCAGGATTGTCCGCGACGATACCACTGTCACAAAGTTGGACATAAATCTTTCATGCTGACGTCGATCGACAGCCACGACGTTCCGTAGTTACTAACACAAACAATATAATCTCCTGCTGTCGCCGACTATCCCTAATACTTATTACTTATAACGTTTGTAAATAAACCACTTTTCGTTTGAATAATACATTCGTCGAGGTGAGGCACCGAACACAATGGCGAGTCAGTAATAGTTTCCGTTTTGAATAAGAGATGCCTATTGTCTCCTTTCAATATTGATTGAGTTCATCTCGTATATTACTTTAAAAATCAGCTTCGGAAATTGTTTTCCGGTGAAATTATGGACGAGTTAATTTTTATGTTTTTATTTTTACCATCAGATGCGTTTTGAATCATAATAAGTATATATCTAAGAACCATATTAATGTCAGTGTGAGCAGGTACCTACTTCTCGGAATGTACCTACCTTGTTATATTCTAGAGGTTCATTGAACGCGTTAATGAAGTTCTAATAATAGCATCGGAATATTTCGTCATCTCGGGAGACAGCGTATATCGGTGCGTGACAGTGACATCGGCGTATCGGCAGAATCATCGCCAACGTTGCCAGATATTTCAGTTGCACCAACAACAGACGCTTATCGGAATAGGATATTTCAGCCAAACCCGTTTTAAAAACAAATAAACTGGTTACCCGTCCGAATAAATACAAACCGCGCTTTGACAGTCCTTCCTATAAATAACCGTAATGAATAGGCGGCTGGCGTTCCCGCAGTAACATGTATGTAATGTTGACGTTTCCTTACCACGATTTATTTCTTTACTTATTTGAATATTTTATAATTGGGAAGGATATTTTACTTTCTTTGAATTAAATAACAATAGAGGTTTATGTGACAAGCAGTGGCAAGAAAAAATATCATGGTGAGGTCAAAGATACATACATATATAAACCTGTCACTGTGTAAGAGGTGCGCCACATAGCTAACTGTATAAGACATTATGATTATACTCCTAAGTTTACGAGAACACCGAAACCTTATACTGCTATGTGTAACTAATTATCGTAAATGTTCCTTTATAACGTAATTAATTACAATATCAACCGCTAGTTAGATTACACAAGATATGGAGATAATGATGTCAAGTGAAGAGACTTGGCTTCCTATAATTAATAAATGTTTAACACACTTTAACTAAAATATTAAACTGAAAAAAAAACGGATTTGCATAACCTGTCAATCAAATCTCAAATCTACTAAATTAAATTTAAATATTTTCCACACATTATGGTGCTTGAAGTTCGTAGTATACGGACACTTTTGAATATTAAAACGTAACAATAGAAGGGTATAAAG